CCGCTCCCGGTCCAGCGCCTCCCGCAGCACCAGCGAGTACGACCCCGAGAACGTCGCCTCCAGACCGAACGGACCCGACGGCCACACCCAGCACCGCACACGACCGTTCGCCCCCGAGTCCCGGTCCGACACGCTCAGCACAGCCACCACCGTCCCCACCGACGCGTCCTCGGGCACTGGCACCGACAGCGACGTCACCCACACCTCCGGCGCGTTGTCGTTCACGTCCAGCACCTCCAGCACCACCTTGCAGTGACCCGACAGCGGGGGTGTCCCCTTATCTGTTGCATCCACTTGCAGGCGATAGAGACCAACATCCTCAAAGTCTAAGTCACCCGTGAGACGGATCTCTGCACTGTCTCTGTCAATTCTGAAAGCGTCTCTTCCATCCTGCGGGAACAGGATCTTGAGTGAATATGAGATATCACTGTTCGTCCCCTCATCCAAATCTGTGGCACTTAGTCTGATCACCAAAGTGCCACGTTCTGTATTTTCCGGCAGTTGCACTTTATACACTGACTGGTTGAACTGGGGCGCGTTGTCGTTTACGTCAAGCACCGAGATCACCAGCTCCATCGTCCCTGTCAGAGACGGTCGGCCCTCATCACTCGCCATCAACAATAACCGGTGAACGGCAATCGTCTCCCGGTCCAGAGATTTCCTGAGCACCAGGAATAAAGATTCACCGTCCTCCTCGGTTTTTTCCAAATCCAGGGAAAAATGTTCGCTCGGGCTGAGTGTGTAGGAGACCTGGGCATTTGCTCCAATATCTGCATCCGACGCGCCCTCCAGAGGGAAACGGGACCCAGGAAGGGAATTCTCCGAAAAACTGATGTTTTTTCTGGCGGCGGGGAAGATGGGGGCGTTGTCGTTGATGTCCGTGACCTCCAGCTCCACGTGGAAGACGCGCAGCGGACGCTCCACCAGCACCTCCAGCCGCAGCAAGCACGGCGCGCTCTTCCCGCACAGCTCCTCCCGGTCCAGCCGCGAGCTCACCACCAGCGCCCCGCTCGCCCCGCTCACCTCCACGCTCGCCCGCCGGCCCTGCGCCACC